CCAACCACCATATATATATATATATATATATATAATTTTTAAGCATATTAAGACGATGAATATGCAAAAGAACCATTAGTATAATATCATGTGATGTTTTACTAGTAATTTGGCATGCTATATCACTACAAGTAGTGCCTGTATGGAAATAATAATCTTCTCGCACTGATGCTGAGATTTATTCTCTCTATTAAGCCGAAGGTAAAGCAGAAGCCTGAGCTTAACTTTTACTACCAAATAACAAGAATTTTAACAGATTTGGGCTATTTAAGGCCATTAACACTGATCTAAGTGTATGCCCTGTTATAAGTTTCTGTTAATGATTATAAAAAATGAAGTGTAATATTCAATTTATATCAGGGACAATAATTTTTTTAAACCACTCATCTATAGTTGTGATGTAAAATTAAATCATGCAGACAGCCATCACACACAAAAATAGATATCAATGACTAAATATCCAGAACAAGTACAAGTCCGACACCTTCGAGTATCAGCCAAAAAGCAAACAGTATTCAATATACAATCAAAAGGAGATGATGTCAAACTATTTTTTTATTATACTCCATAAATTGAATTTAACAAAATGACCTTAACTAATTGTATCATCACGTCAAAACCTAAAATTTCATCACAATGATGATATGAGGTCATCCGCGTTATGGAATAACAAATGCCAAATGTTGAAAAACTACAGAAGATTCAACTTAAGAAGTTGAAACTTTATAAATAATATGAAGTGGACAAGAACAAAAATATTAATACAATCATGTGAAAGAAATATACGTCAAAGAATCACTTCCAATTTAGTAGCAAAAGTTTAAGGAACGTTGAGGTCACTTTCTTTTATTATATAATTTTATCTATTAAATAAAAGCATGTTCGGTAACTTAAATATGTGTTACTTCTATTTTTATTGAATATCTCACAAGTCAATTAATGTGGCAAGTAGGGCTGTCAAAAACGTTCGTTGTTCGCAAACAGTTCGTGTCTGGTTCGTCAATGAGTTCGTGTTCAATTCGTTCGA